GTCTTTTCATGCAGAATGTTTTTTTTTTTTTCCCTTCGATCCCTCCATATCCCCCTACATCTGACATCTTCCTTCTGGGCACTTTCCTTTTTAGCAACATTCCTGGTTATTTTACAATAATATTACTTGGGTAATTTTTTTTTTGGACTAGAAATTGAACTAAGTCTTGGACCTACAAGTGTGTTCTTAAGACTCATCCCCAACCCCTTAGGCTCTTGACATATTCTTTTCACATTAAAGTCTATTTTAATCCTTTATTCTTATAATCTTTGAAATTGAAAGGATAAGAAGGCTTTCCACTCCTGAGCTGAAGATCATATATGAATGGCCTGGCCTATTTATGTTTGGAAATAAACTTATAAAAATAATATTATAACTTTGGCCTTCTAAGCCTATGAGTTGAAACAAAAATCAAATAACGGATATGAAACTAACCCATGTGGTTTTAAAAAGAAAAAACAAAACCCTTAGAAAAAGTGATAAGTTGTGCGGAAAGTTGTTGAGGTTGCCACTGTGGGAAAGAACCCAGTTGTTGGTTACTTTGATATTTTCATGAGAAACAAAGAATCGACAGAAAAGGAACAGCAGAAAATTTCAGTCTTTTAGCTTTTTCTTGTTAGTCTTCTTTTGAACACAGGATGGAAAACTGTGATGAACGTAGTAGACACAACAGGCTTGTTAATGAAACTACATGAAGAGGACACAAGAAGGTACCAGATCCTCTGGAACTAGAGTTATAGAAAGTCATGCAGTTCAATGAAGATACTGGAAACTGAACCTGAGTCCACTGTAAGTGCAGCTAATGTTCTTCACCTCTGAGGCATCTCTCTCTCTCCTTCCTCCCACACAACTTCTTAAGAGTTTATCCATATAAACAGAGTAAGTGAAAAGAGTCCTAGATAATGGTAAATATAAATGCAAGCACAGAAAGGTTGAATTCACTTGTTCTAGAAACATTCTGATATTTACCTACTTGGTGCTGTGCTAGGTACTAGAGCTCAGATTTTCTGATGCAAACTGTCTTAATGTGATTACTTCCTTTCCTACTCTCTTCTCAAAAGCAGAACATTCACAGAATCAGGACCATGTTGTTATAATGAGGCAATTCTAGTGACTCAGTCTCTCCATAATATTCTTTATTGGCATGTTATCACCATGTAAGGAGATAGTAATGACATACTGCCTGAGGCTTCAATGAGTCACAGATAAATCTATTTGAAAAAAACAAAAATATCTTGTCAAAAATATCCTTCTTTAGTTCAGGTAAATTACACTGTCTATGCAGAATGGGCAACCACCAGAAGTAACTGCTTTCAACAAGCTCTGTATTTGCATAATTAGTATTCTTTTCACAAGGCCTTTGCTTTTGCTTTGTCATGCTATTAGGTTCTGTTTTTTTCCTGTACACTAATATTTGAAATAGTTCTGCAATGCATAAAATTCAACAAATAAAGAAAGCAATTCTGCATGGCATTGTAGTACAAGGAGGCAGTGGGAGGTGTATCTGTGAGTTTGAGGCCAGTTTGCTCTACATAGTGCATCCCAGGGTAGCCAGAGCTACAGAGTGAGATCCTGTCTTAAGATACAGACAGACAGACAGACAGACAACTTTATACTTTCCATACCCAGATAGGACAACTCTTACCTATACCTTCTCCATTATGCACTTCGGAGTTCATGTTGTCATTTAGTACCACTAGCTCATTTGTGCCTGTTCCTGGGATCACGTCTTTTACATACAGATTTGCTCTGTAAAGAGCAATAAACAGGCCCCTCTAGGCCCCTTGAGATAAACGACTTAGACTTTCAAAATCACATCTCTAAACACAAAATCCATCACCTTCCTTCCTCATTCTTGAGGTTTCAAATTTGTCACGTACAGACTGCTCCTTTTCTTCCTCATACACTATACTAATACGCTGTACCTCTTCCCGTGAGCAGAATCTCTCCTCAGCCCTCTATTTCCCTATGGGCTTGTCTCAGATCAGCACAGCCTGCCTTCAACAACTCAGATTCATCCTGGAAATAATGGCGCTTCCCGCAACTCTCTTTGAGTTTTACCAGGCAAATCTAGATCCTTGGCAGACAAGATCCTCCCACTGTCAAGTCAGCTCACTGTCTTCTCAGAGGAATAACACAGAAGGAGGCAATGCTTTGGAACAAGAATGACTCTTGGCTCAAGGTCTGATGCTCCCCCTAGTGGTACAGAACTACATCCTGGGATGGGACTCAGGAAGGCTGTGAGACCAATCAAATCTGAGTGGGCAATTTGTCAACAATGGCCAAATGCAGTTAGAGCAAATGAAGCCTGAAATTTAGTGCCCCACCCAGAAGTTTGATCTCAGCACTAGATTCTCCTGATGAAATTTCCCAAATCCCCAAGCCAGTGGCCATCACTGTCATTTTTGAGGGATGACATAATGCATCTCTTTCTACTAACAAGGAAAACCACATAGCAATTTCAACTAAATGACTGTACTGTTAACCAATATCCTGTAGAACTGTCTGGAAATGGAGCCAAATAATACAACAGTATTCATTCATCTATATGTTCAGTCTTCTACAGAATGCACATCTGAAATATATCTGTCAGGACAGGGAGGTAACTGAGTCAGTAAAGTGCTTGCCTCGTACATATGAAGACCTGAGCCCCAATCTCCAGTACCTATATAAAAAAAAGTCTTGCCTGGAGATGGTGGCACATGCCTTTAATCCCAGCATTCAGGAGGCAAAGGCAAATGGATCTCTGAGTTTGAGGCCAGCCTGATCTACAGAGGGATTTTCTCAAAACCTCCCCACTCCTCCACACATACACACACAAGTCTAGTATGGTGGCCTATTTTTGTAATCTCCACGCCAGGAGGCAGAGGTAGATAGAACTTTGAGGCTTTGAGGCTAGCCTACCAGAAGAGTTATAGGCCAGTGAGAGACCCTGTACAAAATATAAGGTGGATGGTGATGAATGGAACCCAAGATTGGCCTCCACGTACACAAATGAACACAGATGTGTCCATCATATACACAGACACATGCACAAAGAGCACCTGTCAAGGTGGAGACACTATAGGGTCTAAATCATCCCAGCTTGCAACCAGAGAATGGATACATCCATGAAAATGGTCGAGATCTGGCTTGGCCTGGACAGAGACAGGAAAGGAGTCTCAGAAGAGAAGGTAACTGAACTGACTCTGTGAGGTCATAATGAATGCACAGGGTAAAGACAGGGGTGTTATTCTAAATCTATTGGCACACTTTTATCAGATTCCCCTACAATAGAAACTAACAAAGCAAGAAGTCACACAAAACAGTGCAGTGCAGCACGACCTTGACAAGCACTGTCTCACTTCAGTGCAGTGCAGCAGGACCTTGACAAGTGCTGTCCCTCTCACTTTCTCACTGCTGTGATAATACAACTGGCCAAAGCAACTTAAGGGAGGAAGGACGGTGTCACATGGGCTCACAGTGTAAAGGCCATCCCGATGGGATCCAAGGTGGCAGGAGCCTGAAGCAGCTGTCATGCTGTCTCCTCAGTCAGGAAGAAGAAAAGAGTGAATATTTGTGTTCAAGGAGTGGAGCTGCCAGTTTTTAAGATGTCCCACCTCAATTAACCTAATCAAAAGAATCCTTGGAAGACATGCCCACAGGCTAAATAATGCCTTACGAATGTGCCCTGGGGGCTTGTATCCTAGGTGATTCTAAAGACCTATTAAAGCAGACACACTAACTAAACCATCACACATTAGGCCCATTAGAAAGTTATGTTAAACACCGTAGAAAACATGTCTCTGTAAATTCACCATAATCTGGACCAAGAGCTGCAGGAGGCGCTCAGAATACTACTATATCTTTTTCTCTCTTTGTCTAGCAATATCAAGCCTAATTTTTGACTCTCAATACTCTCTTTGTGCACCGTTTGAACTATACTCCAGACCGGCATATGACAGAATGGTCGGTATGAGATGGGTACAGCTAGACAAGCCATTATTCCCTGTGCATTTGCAACAATGGCTAATCTAAGAAACTCTAAACACTATGGACTTATTCAAAATGAGGGGTTCTGTGTGTCGTGGTTGTTTCTAGGTGACACACGCTAGGCCTTCTCTCCTCCAAACACTGCAATCACTCTCAGTACTTTTATGGACCTATGTATAACCACTAAGGAAAAGAAATAAACCTGGCTCGGTGGGCAAAGTGCCTGCTAAACAACTGGGGGGCCTGAATTTTGATTCCCAAAACTCATTTAAAAAGCTGAACACAGTGATAGTCTCCTGAAACTCCAATGCTGTGAGGCAGAGACAGGGGGATTCCTGGAGCTAGTAGGCCAGCCAGTCCAGAGAGTGACTTCAGGCTCACTGAGACCTGGTCTCAACAATAAAGGAGAGAGCAATAGAAGAAGATTCTGAAGTTAACCTCTGGTCCCTAGCAAGCACATCTACACACACACACACACACACACACACACACACACACTCACGAAACAACAAAAACAAGAGAAGAAAGTGTATTTCTTTTACAGGGAAAATGTTCATCAGCACAAAGCATGTGACAGACACACTACTAGATGAAAAATGTCCAACACTGAGTAGGGTATATTGTTTCACAGCTATCCTTTTATATCATATAACATATACCATAAGAGCCGGGGACACAGAGTACTTGGCTCTGTATGCTATACTGTTACTATAATGTTATCTCATAAATCACAGTTTTTGGCAAATCATTACAGACTTTGATTTTTGAGGGCGGAAGGTTTTACCCATGTAAACCAGGTTGGCTTTAAATTTGTGATGATCACATCTAGCTTAAAAGTGATTACAATTTGTTGTTGCTATTGCTGCTATAGTTTTGAGAAAAGGTCTCATGTAACCTAGGCTGGCTTTGCTTTCTGTTCCTCTGGCTTCTTTGTCCTGAGCGTGGGGATTTTAGTTGTATGCCACCATGCTCACTCAGTCTATGACAGCTTTTTAAAGAGAATACCTCCCAGGTGTCAGAGTACTCACCAACATTGTAGTATCTCTTCAGCTCTGTGCGCCTGATTTCCTTTAACTGATTATTTTTTCTCTTCTTTTTCTCATCAGTGCTGTGGTCCCCCTCTCCTGCGACTTTGGACTTGTCTTGTTCCAAAATGACTGAATTAGCATCATCCTTCTCGGAATGACTCTTTGTGGCTGCAGCTGAGAGGATCTCTGCATTTTGTTTGGCTTGTTTTTTCTTTTTTAGTCTATGAAGGAAAAGGGAGAAATATTGAAGAAGTCATTACATGCCATCCTAATTTTATGCTGTGGGTCTCTGAATTGTCTGATACATAAAACACTCTCTGATATATTTTTTCTCTCTCTCCCTCCTTCTCCTCTCCCCTTCCTCCTTCCTTCCTCCCTTCCCCTCCCCTTCTCCCCCCTCAACTCTTGGCAAGCACACAGACTGGCTTCAAATGCAGGCTTACAGGCCTGGACCTTCCTCCATGTTTCTTTTGGTAGAACTGGGGATTGAATCCAGGGTTTGTACATGACAGGCAAGCATGCTACCACTGAGCTTTGTGCTCAGTTCTGTTTTCACTTAAAAAGAAGGAAGAGGAAGAAGGGGAGGAGGGGAAAGGAAGAAGAGATAATAGTTTAAAGACAAAGTCTCATAAAATTATTCAAGTTATTTTCCTTTTCTAACCACTTACATATTTTAACATGAAGACCGGGGGCCTTTGCTCAGTGTTGAATCCACAATACTAGATCTCACAGAAGTGTGGGATATATTCTAGGTCTAAGAACAATGACATTTTTCTATAGGCTCAGAAATGATGAGTATTGTTATTAAATCAAGATACAGTAACCCATCTATAAGGCCTCATTTGGGGCACTATATGATTTAAAAAGTGTTGTGGTTTTCTGGTGTGCCTAAGAACTGAGAGACAAGCAGGTATGAAACGTGTTTTATATTGGCTTAAAGGCAGGATCAAGAATTGTAACATCTGACTCTGGTTTGTGTAACTCTTTCCTTTATATAGACAGTAAAAGAAGGAACGTGGATTGAAAGTCGCATGGTGACCACCGCCCAGCAGTCCCCTTAGCCAGTTCCTGCTGATGAGGTGAGAGGTGACACAGGCGGCCCACGGCAGGCAGCTGGAGCCGGGTCTGCAGGGCATCCTCATCGCCTGGAACATGAACGAGCACAAGTATGTGGAAAAGGCCTACAGCCTGCTCAACAAGTATGGCGGTGACTTGTACTGGCCCGAAAAGTTTATAGACAAGGACCAGCAGCCCTCTGGATGTGAGTGAGAAGACGATGATGCGGAGGCTGCCTTGAAAAAAGAAGTTAGTGGCATTAAGGCTTCAACAAAGAAGAGGCTGCGAAGATTCCAGTCAGGAGAGCGGCGCAAATAATGTAGTCTTCATCAGGACACTTGGGATAGAACCTGAGAAATTAGTGCATCATATTCTCCAGGATATGTACAAAACCAAGAAAAAGAAGATACGGGTTATTTTGCAAATGTTGCCCATCTCAGGCACATGTAAAGCTTTTTTAGAAGATATGAGAAAATATGCAGAAACTTTTCTGGATGTAGGAGGAGCTAAGGTGGGAGGAGTAAGGAGAGGAAGAGAAGGAAGAGGAAGAGCTAGGAGAGAGTAGGGAACATGGAAGCAGACGTATGCCTGTCTCTAGCAGTCAAAGGTAGTTGATATATCTAGGTTGGGTATTGGCCTCTCTCTGATTTTGTGGGCATCTTGTTATTGATCATTATCAAATATATAAAGCCTTTGGATAATCTAAGCATTAGAGTCTCATTTGTATTGAGCCCGCGTGGATGGCAGGATGGTCTGGGCAATGCCCAGCCTTGCAGAGACAGCGTGGAAGATTGGCAGAGCCATCTCCCACGCTGGTGTCTCATGGGTGGCAGGGATGGTGTTTCTGGCTGGCTGTTTCTAGCTGGGGCGCACATGTGGCCTCTGGCCATGGAACATGGTGGCTGAGCTAAGCAGAACCGCCGCAGCTTAGACAGCTTTACTAGTGGCTGTTTTAAGAAATTACTTCAACACTGAAACCCTGGTTTAAAGTCCCAAACAGAGGGACATTTCAGATTGCATACAAATCTCGATATAATAGCCATATGAATAGAGAAGAAGTTATTAAAGAGTTGGCAGAAATAGTGGGCAGCCTTGATTCAGAAAACAAAGTGGATCTCACTAATCCAGAATGCACAGTGGTAGAAGAAATCATCAAAGCTGTGTATTGTCCGAGTGTTGTGAAAGATTATGTGCTGTTCTGGAAACATAACCACCAAGAAGTAGTGAAGAGTGCAAAGGACTCACAGCCTCACCCAAAGCTGGGAAATGGCAAAGACGCAGCAAAATTGGAACCCGATAGCAAGTTGAATCAAAGTGATCCCCAGAAGGGAAAAATAACCAACAGGGGGCACCAGAGAGTAGCAAGAAGCTGGGGCAGACAGCCAGGGTCTGAAACCCAGGCGGGAAGTGAGGAAGGAGCTAAACCTGAACCTGAAAGCCAAGTCTCAGAAGGACCCAAGACAAATGAAAATGAGCTCTCAGAGGTCATTCTGTGGGGATGTGGTCTCAGCTGAGGTTCTATGTGGAACTGTGATAATATATTTTGACTTTTGTGGGCTGTTCAATGCTGATCTCACAATCCCTGTTGTCAGTCTTGTTAGAGTCCTTCCAGGCCGGTATATCGGTGTATGCAGAACCATGTTCTGTTTCCTAGGGGAGGGTGCTAGGAGGATGGTGTTGGCCTCTGTCTCCTCATTACCCTCTCTAGTTTCCTCTTAAGCACTGCCAACTGATGTGGAACTGAACAACATCTGGATGGGAAATGAACAGGACATTCTGAGGAGGGCATGTGCTGCAGCTCAGCTGTCCCTACCATTCCATTGTACACATAAACAAGTGGCACTGTGGATTAAAATATATATATGGTAGAAGTCCTACAGTGCTACATCTCTTGAGATCTAAAAAATCCCCTAGTAATGGTACAGACTAAACACTAGGAGCAACCACAGTGATTACTAATATGAGCACTGGCTGAAGACTTAGTGAACATAATCAGTGCTTCACTCCAAAGGCCAAGGTGTATGAGCTGAATCTAACCTCTGTGAATGTTCACTGAATCTAGCCTCTGTGAATGTTTCCCAAGGAATGCATGCTCTGCAACGAACTGGTATGCACCCTCAGGTCAATAAGTCCTTGAGAAAGTTTGTGTCCTACAGACCATAAGCTCTTTCATAAGGCCTGTCTTAGTGAGGGTTTCTATTCCTGCACAAACGCCATGACCAAGAAGCAAGTTGGAGAGGAAAGGGTTTATTCAGCTTACACTTCCACATCGATGTTCATCATCAAAGGAAGTCAAGACTAGAACTCAAGCAGGTCAGGAAGCAGGAGCTGAGGCAGAGGCCATGGAGGGATGTTTCTTACTGGCTTGCTTCCCCTGGCTTGCTCAGTTTGCTTTCTTATAGAACCCAAGACTTCCAGCCCAGAGATGGTACCACCCACAATGGGCCCTCCCCTCTTGATCACTAATTGAGAAAATGCCTTGCAGCTGGATCTCATGGAGGCATTTCCTCAAGGGAGGCTCCTTTCTCTGTGATAACTCCAGCTTGTGTCAAGTTGACATACAACCAGCCAGTACAAGGCCTCTAACCTCTTGAACCTGGGCATTCTGTTTAAGTGTAAATATGTTGAGATTAGGATCCTTCTGCCTGGGTAGAAAAAGACTTCAGATTTGGAGATTGCATTCTGTTACACAGTTCTTTTGCCTTGAACATGGAGAAGTTAAGCTGGTACCTACAGAGTCTTCACCCCTTTGAGCTAGCATCTTTGGTCCAGACAGGAAAGTACTCTGTATGCTACTAAAGGAAAAAGATAAAACACCAATCCAGCTACAAACCCTTGGATCTATGATGGTGTCCTGCCTGCAAGATATGCTTGTGCAATGAGGGAGTAACCAACCAATGTCTGATTTGACTCAAGACCCACTCCATGATATGGAATCCTTATCCAACACTTTTTGAGTGACCAAGAACCTGAGACTAGATAGCCCAGAGACCTAGGATAGAAAGGAAAAAGAGAGGACAAAATAGCAATAAAATGACTGCTTATGATATTTTGTAATATGCATAGATATTCAGCCACCATCACAGAAGCTTCCTTCTGCCTTAGATGGCAACAAACACAGAGACCCACAGCCAGACAATATGCAAAGAATGAGAACATTCAGCCCGAAAGGAGATACTGGCATCAAATCCCTCCACTCAGGGCTCAGGAAACCATGTGGGATAGGAGACAAGAAACATGTAAGAGCCAGAGGCAATGGAGGACACCAAGAAAACAAAACCTTCTACATCAACAGGACTGATGTACATATGAATTCACCGAGACCGGAGCAGCATGCACTAGGCATGTATGAGTCTGTACAAGATGGGGGTCCTAGAGCTGAAAGAAGAAGTGGGCAAGTGTGCTAGATGCTATCTTCCACTGAGCACCAGGGAAGCCAGTCCTAAGATCTTCATTTACTTCTAAAAATGGTCTAAAATACAAGACAGCTGGGAAAATGTGCAGAGGAGTACACATCCATCCCTTTGTGTGCTGGTCTGAACACACACACACACACACACACACACACACTTAACACACACAATTACAGATTAAAGTTAGGGAACTACAATAAGGGATTATTTTTAATGAATTTTTTGATTTTTTGAGACAGGGTTTTTCTCTTTGTAGCCCTGGCTGTCCTGGAACTCACTCTGTAGACGAGGCTGACCTCGAACTCAGAAATCCGCCTGTCTCTGCCTCCCAAGTGCTGGGATTAAAGGCGTGCGCCACCACTGCCCAGCACATTGTTATTTTCTATCAGGTTTTTAGCCATTTTATTCCTTGGTAAAAGAATAGGCAGTTGTTCATAAAGTTAGGTCTGATAATGTCTCTACTAAAATAAAACTTTTCAGATCAAATTACCATAAGAAGCTTAACTTTGTAATGCCCTGGCTTTGTGGAGAGATCAAACATCTCTTTAAAGATGTGGTTTCTGTAAAGACCTGACTTTCTTCTAAAAATGCTGGTTGTGAGTAGGCAGGTTGGTCCTGCTCTATTCATGAGTTCATCAAAACTTGCTTGAAATGAACCTTTCACATCATTCAAAAATGATTGTTTTTTTTTTTTCTAGAAGAAAGCAGATGCATAAAATTAGCTCTGTATCTATCTCCTGAGACATGTTGTT